ATCACTGCAGTTTTGCTTTGTTATATGCGTATATTCTTGGGATGAGTATTTGTTCAGTTATTTTGCCATGTTTTAATTGGATTGTCTTATTATTGAATTGTAAGAGTCCTTTATATTTTCAAGATGAAATTCTCTTTTTAGACATATTACTTGTAAATATTTTCTCCCATTCAATTGTTTGTTGCTTCATTTTCTTCATGGTATTCTTTGCAGCACAGAAGTTTTAGTTTTGATGAAGTCAATTATGCTATTTTTTCTTTCTTACTTGTATTTTTAAGTTATATCTAAGAAATCATTAGCAAATCCAAGATAATAAAGATTTATGCCAATAGTATACTTTTTGTTCTGACATTTAGAACCACTTTTACTTATGTTTCATATGTACCATGAAGTGTGGTTTCAATTTAATTCATTTGTAAGCAAATAGTCAATTGTCTCCATATTATTTCCTGAAAAGAGTATATTTTTCTCTATTTAATTGTTTCTCATCTCTGTCAAAAGTCAATTGACTGTAAAAGTTTATTTCTGGACTCTTAATTCCATGTATTGATTTATTGCCAAATCTTTGTGACATACTCTATTTTTGAGGTTTTTGTAGTTTTACACTAAGTTGTGAAGTTCAGAAGCCTGAGTTCTCAAACTTTATTTTTTCTCAAAATTATTTTGGGATAAATTCCTAGACATGAATGAACTTTTAAAAATCAAATCAAGGAGCTATAAAAACCTTCTTTTTCTTTTTTCTTTTTATTGAATTTATTGGTACAATCTAGGTATACAATACAGGTACATTCATTATTGGGATCCTGTACCTTTACATGACAGGTCTTGGTTCTCATTTTTCCCCTTGTCCCTGCCCTCCCTTCACCCCCTCCTCCCCTCCCCATTTACAAACACTTTATTTCCATTTCTTCAATTTCTCGTATTTTTTTCCTCTCCCTTATTACCTTTCCCCCACCCTTCCCACTTTCCCTACACCTTTAGCCTTTTACTTCCTATTTCACATTATTAATTATCTCATTAGGATCCTGTGTAGTATTATAGTTTTCCACACCAGAGAAACTATTTGGTATTTCAGTTAAAGAAATCTCTGTATGAACATTAAAAATAGGGAATCCTAAAATAAAACTAAAAAGGAAAGTAAAAGAGAAAAGGCAATGAGATTAAAATAATCCTTAATTCTTAAGATGAAAATGGTCCCTGAACATATTTAAATTGCTTATTGCTCTTGTAGTCTTATCTTATTTTTTTCATTATTTAGAGAATACTTTATTAATTTCTGTAATCAAACCCATGTAGATATGACCTTACATATTTAATACAGTGTGTTACCCCTGTACAAATGGAAAAATAAAATAAAATAAAAATAAAAATAAAAAATTAACATTTTTAGACCAATATGGCTGTCAATTTCTGTACAAGGCTAACTCAACAAAGTAAATTGGGATAACTTTTTCCAAAGTTAAAGTTTCCAAAAATTCTAATTATATATCTATATGTATATTTATATTTATATAAAAAGACCAATAATACCAATATGTTATGCATCAACAGCAGCAACAGCTTTTCCAGGTTCTGCAGTCATCTGAACAAAATTCTAGACATTCAGCACACTCCATTAAAAAAACAAAAACAAAAAAACAAAGGAAAGAATAATACCCAGAAAACAGCAAAGTTCTGTTGCTGTTGTGGTACCCGGCACCATTTTTTTTATTAGCATCTTAATCATCATCTGGAAAGAGAACATTCTAGAGTAATATCATTAAAAATAGCTCTGATAAAGCATGGTCACTACTGCATATCATAAAGCAGGCACAAGATATTTTACATTCACAGAGGTATGATATAGTACCGTCCTACATCAACAATACTAGAATAAGTTTTGGTTTAAAATTTACTTTGTCTGCAAATAAGATTGCTACCCCTGCTTTTTTCTGGGCTCCTGTCACATGGAGAATTGTTTTCCATCCTTTCACTTTCAGTCTCTGGGCTTCTTTTTGCACTAGGTGTGTTTCTTGTATACAACATATTGTTGGATTTTACTTCTTATTCCATTTTGCCACTCTATTTCTATTGATTGGTGAGTTGAGGCCATTGACATTGATGGTTATAACTGATATGTACTGATTTATTATTGTCATGTTATTGGCTTTTTGTTGACTCTTTCACTTTTTCACCTTCTTTTAGTTTCTTGCCTTGCCTATTTGATTTGCTCTGTTGCGCTTCATGGTGTTGTTGCCTTCATTGTCTTTTTCTAGGATCATGTTTATAATTGCTTGCAGTGTTGGCTTGGTATTCATGTAGTTTCTCAGGTGTTCTTTGTCATGGAAGTATCTTATTTCCCCATCCATTTCGAAAGAGAGTTTTGCAGGATACATCAGTCTAGGTTGGAGGTTGTTTTCTTTTAGGCCTTGAAATACCTTACTCCAGGCTCTCCTTGACCTGGGGGTTTGTGTTGAAAAGTCTGTTGTGATTCTGATGGGCTTTCCTTTGCATGTGATTTTTTTCTTTTCTCTTACTGCTTGTAGTATTTTGTTCTTCTGTTGGGTTTCTGGGATCTTGATTATTATATGTCTAGGTGTAGACTTTTTTTTTTATTATGGCTAGTTGGAGTCCTATATGCCTCACTTATCTGTATGTCAAATTCTTCTCTTCCATTTGGGAAGTTTTCTGTCATTAATTCTGTGAAGAGCTTTTTTATGTCATTTGTATTTTCTCCTGCTACTTCATGGATTCCTATCAGTCTTATGTTATTCTTCTTTGCATCATCTAGGAAGTTGTTGGATCAATTTCTCATGCTCCCTTACTGTTTTTAAGAGACCTCTCTTTTCACGGTCACTGTCTGCAATCCTATCTTCTATATCTGAAATTCTATCTTCTCAATCTTTTATTCTGTTGTGTACACTTTCAATAGAGTTTTTAATCTCCTGGATATCTGTTTGAATCTGTTTTATGGATTCCATTTCTTTCCTATGTTGGGCATTTATTGTTTCCATGTCTTTCTTATGATCTATTTTTTTGTCAGTTTCTGCTCTAGAGTCTCGAATCACGACTTTCACTTTGCTCAACATCTCTATGGTTATCTGGGAAATTATTTTTGTTTTTAATTTTTCTAGAGCCTGATTGATCTGTTTTGTTACTTCCTGTGCTTTGAGTTCAGGGTGTCCTGGTAGTTCACTATTGGCCTCTTCATCCTCATTTGTCCTACTGTTTGCCATTGGTGAACTGGAAGTCTGTCTTTGTGTCTTGCTTAAGTGTTTTCTCATTTTTATTTTTGTTGTCAGACTGTCCTTGGTTTAATCTCTGGGTGATAACCCAAATCTTCCTGATATAGTTGCACCTTAGCTTCTGTGTCTCTAACGACCCACAGACATTCTCATCTTCATAACATCAGAGAAAACAGCTCATCAAATCAACCACAATCCTTTATCCCAACTGATACAATCAGTAACACATTGTGATCAAGCACAACTTGGAAACTGACCACCTGTGGTAGTCACTAGTCTATCACCCTTAAATCATTTGAATTAAATTGAAATCAAGAAGCAGTCCAGAACATGTCTCCAGTGAACAAACTTTTCAATATAGTATATTTATCATTTAGGATGGGGGCTCAGACACAGCTAGGACACAAGATGCCTGATCTCAGTTAGCTGATGGCTGAACCCCATGACGCAGACTGACCTCGGGTTGCACAGACCAGATTGAGTTCCCCAACCTTCTGAATGGTTGAACTCCACACCATTCTACTACAGGTTTCCCACGCCCTTTCTTTAAAGATGTTCAAAGTTGGGAACTCAGAAAAATACCCTTTATGACCACCTCTGCCTCTGCAGAGTGGGTCCAAAGACTGGCACAATCAGGGGGTCTGAGAGTGTGCTGGGGGGGTAAAGGGAATTATGGGGTTCAGGGGCGCCCATGCAGCTACCTTCCTGGTGCTGGAGCGATAACGGCTCCAGGTGGGAGAAGGCATGGCTCTCCTTCCCACAGTGTATCAGGGCCCAGACTCGATACAAAAACCTTTAATGGAGCAATAGTAGGCAAAGAAATTGAGGCAATAATTAAACTCTATCAACTAAGAACCCCCAGATTCACGACTGAATTTTACCAGAACTTCAGGGAAGCCCTAATGCAAAAGCTGCTCAAACCCTTCCATGAAACTGAAAGAGAAAAAGCACTGCCAAATTCATTCCTGAAAGCCAGCATTTTTCTAATACCAAAATCAAACAAGGACTTAACAAAAAAGAAAACTCTTAGATCATTTTTAATAAAAATAAGTGCAAAAATCTCTGAAAACATACTGGCAAATAGAATGCAACAAGGCATTTAAAAAATCATACATAATGAACAAGTTGTTTTCAGATTAATATGGCTAAACATGTAAATCAATAAACAAACAACACAGTCCATACACAGAAGGACATAAATCAAAAGACCATCTCAATAGATGCAGAAAAACATTTGACAAAACCCAATATCCATTCCTAAGAAAGATCCTGATGAAAATAGATATAGAAGGGACTTACCTCAACTGATAAAAAGCCACTTATGTCAAAAATGGTGAAATATTGAAAGGTTTTTCTCTAAGGAACAAGACTAGGGTGTCCACTCTCATGACTTCTGTCCAACATAGTACTTGAAACTTTAACCAAAACACACAGGCAAGAGAAAGAAATAACAGGAATATGTACAGGAAAGGAAGAGGTCAAAATATCTCCATTCACAGATGAAATAATTGTTTACACAAAAGAACCAAAAAACTCCAACAGAAGGCTCTTAGAACGAATAAACAAATTCAGCAAAGTGGCAGGATATGAAATCAATAAGCAAAAATTAATAGCATTTCTGTACACTAAGAATGAATGTATGGAGAAAGAAATCAAGAAAATAATCTCATTCATAATAACTTCAATGTAATTAAATATCTAAGAATTAACATAACCAAGAAAATTAAAGAGATTTTAAATGAAAACTATAGTACAATGAAAAGAAAAAGAAATTCAGTGCTCACTTTGCAGCACATATAGTAAAATTGGAACAACACAGAGAAGTTTAGTATGGCCCTTGCACAAGGATGACAGACAAATTCATGAAGCATTCCATATTTTTAAGAGAGAGATTGAAGAGGTTATTAGAAAATGGAAAGATATTCCCTATTCCTGGTAGGCAGAACTGATATTGTTCAATTCCAACAAAAATACATCAGCATTTTTTATAGAAGTAGAAAAATGTAAAATTAAAAAAAATTATTATTGATACGCTTACAGTATGTAATGATTACATTCCTTTCACATCCTTTCCACACCTTACCCCCTCAACCCTTGGTTCCTTTCTCTTTTGCAAAAGATTCATCTCCCTAGTTCCTATTATCTATCTTTTATTTTGTTCTTCACTTACATTTTGGGTTTCTCACATAAAAGAAAATATGGAATATTTAATTTGCATGCCTGAATTATTTCACTTAACATCTCAAGGTTCATCCATTTTTCCACAAGTGACTGAACTCTGTCCTTCTGACTGAGTAGTGCTCCATTATGTATATATATGCCACATTTTCTTTATCCATTCATCTCTTGATCAGCTTATGGGCCGCTTTCAAGACTTAGCTATTATTGGTTGTGCTACTGTAAACATGGGCTTGCATGTATCAGTGTAATATGATGTCTTCACTCTTTCAGAATGAGACCTAGAAGAGGAATAGCTAGGTCAAATGGCATTTCTAGTGTTAGGTTTTGGAGAAATCTCCATACATATTTCTATAGTGGTTGAGCTAGTTTACATTTCCACTAACATTGTAGATGAACTAGTTTACATTTTTCCCTCCCCAGCACCACCACCTTGCCAACATTCATTCTTTTTTGATGCTCCAATGATGGCCATTCTTTCTGGAGTAAGATGGAATCACAGCTTTGCTTTAATTTGTATTTCTTTAATGGTCAGTGGCATTTAACATTTTTCACATATTTATTGGCCATTTGTACTTCAGAGAAGTTTCTATTCATTTTAGCTGCCCATTTCATAATTAGATTTTTTACTTTGGGGGATTTTTAAAGTTCTTTATATATTTTAGATATTAGTTCTCTGTCCAAGGAATAGCTGGCATTTTTTCCATTCTATTGGTTGCTCCTTCACTCTTTTTTGTTGTTTCCTTTGCTGTGCAGAAGCATTTTAGTTTATATAATTCCATTTATTGATTCTTGAAACCATTTCTTGTGCAAATAAGTTTTTGTTCAGAAAGTCCTTTCCTACACATATGTCTTCAAGAGTATTACCTATTTTTTGTTCTAGTAGATTAAGTGCTCCATTGTAACGTTTCAATTTTAGCTTAGTACTTGCTGAGAGATATGAGTCTAGACTCAATCTTCAACATGTGGATAGCTAGTTTCCCCAACACCATTTATTTAAGAGGCTATTTTTCTCCAGTGCATGTTTTTAGCCCTTTTGTCAAGGATCAGACAACTGAATGTGCCTGGAGTTTGTATGTCATCTGCTACAAGATTTGTTAAATACCAGAGTTCCCTGACTGGTGAGGTTAAAGGTAAATTATACTTTTTTCTTCATGTATATCTTGTATTTTTATATTTTTTATTGAACATTTTTTAGTAATCTGGAGTAATGTCAAAGGCTCTTTTCATTTTTATTCTTTAAAAAAAAGTCACAAAACAGTACTGTGTATGTAGTGAAATACTACTTTTATATAAAATATGTATGAGCATGTGTTTACATCTGTGTTCCTTTGTCTCATGCATGTCAATGTGATGTATTTGTATATTAAAGAGAAAAAATTAGAAAGGTAAAGACTGAAATATTAATAATAGTTTGTATCTTGAGTGATTGAATTATGGGTGATCTTTTCTTTATTGTTTTGTGTTATATCTTGTTTATTTTTTAATAGAAAATACCCATAAAGAAAACATGCAAAAATATATGTATTGAGACCAATTAATTATCACATATAACCATGTTATTAATCATGATATGAAGAGGCAGAATTTACCAGCACTCCAAAAGCACCTCATGTGCCTCCTTCCATCCTCTGTACACTTACTTCAACAAGATTGGGCTGATTTTGATATTGAGAAAAATGGAGTCATATAACACATGTACCTTTGGAGTTAGCATCTTCCACCATAGAAAATCTTGTCATTTAGATAAATCTTTCTGGGATGAAGCATGCAAAATTGTCCCAATTCTTCTTCATAGCATCAGCATAAGTTATTTCCAATAATCAAGTGCATTCACATGAATAGACACCGTAGCCTCACCCAGTTCAGTATAGTGGGTGTCCCTGTCATAAATGTCCTCACCTTTGAGGCAATGACACTCAGAAATGGGGGTACAAGGCAAGTTGCCTGTCAGAGGAGGTAGATCCTTGCCACCTGCTGAAGAAAAACATGTACAGTTCTTAAACTAAAATCCAAGTGTATTAAAGATCTAAATATTAAAACAGAAACACTAAACTTGCTGGAAGATAAGTTAGGTAGAACTCTCCAAGTCATTGCCATATGAAAAGACTTTATGAACAAATCCTCAGTAGCACGGGAACTAGCGCAAGCAATCAACAACTAGAATTTCATCTTTTTAAAGGGCTTCTGCACTGCAAGAGAAACCATCAACAGAGCTAACAGACAACTTATAATATGGGGAAAAAACTTTTTACAAGCGGTTCCTTAGACAAAGGTCTACTATCTAGAATATATAAAGAACTAAAATCAGACCCCTGCAAACATAGAGAACCAGTTTAAAAATGGGCATCTTAAATGAACAGACATTTCTCTCACAAGGAAATAAAAACAGCAAATACACATATGAAAAATTTAACATCACTGGTCATTCAAGAGATCAAGATGTAAACAATGCTGAGATTCCACCTCACTCCAGAAAGAATGCCTGCTATCATGAAATCAACCAATAACAAATGATGGCAGGGTTGCAGGGATAAAGGAACATTTCTTCATTGCTGGTGGGAGTACAGACTGGTGAAACCACTGTGGAAACCAATGTGGAGACATCTCAAACAACTAGGATTGGAAGCCCCATTTGACCCAGCTATCCCTCTGTGGGATATCTTCCTAAAAGAATCACATCACAGTGATATATGTGCACCCATGTTTATAGCGACACAGTTTGTAATAGCTAAAACTCAGAAACAGCCCAATTGCCCATCAACTGGAGAATACATAAAGATCTGTGTGTGTGTTTTTTTTAATAAAACAGAGTATAACTCAGCCATAAAGAATGAGAAACTAGAGACATGTATAGCTAAATGGATGCACATTGAGTCCATACTCTTAAGTGAAATAAATATGACACAAATGTGTAAATACCGAATAGTTTCTCTGGTGTGAAAAACTAGAAGTGTAAATAAGGATCAAAATGTTTAAATGATATTGTAAAATAGGAAGAAAAGGTCTGAAGGAGTAGGGGAAGGGAGAAGGGTAAGAAATGAAAGAAGGGAAAAGAAAAAATATGAGAAATGGAAACAAAGTCTTTGTAAATAGGGAAGGGTGAAGGGGGTGAAGGGAGGCCAGGGGAAAGGGGAAAAAATAAGAACCAAGATACAGCATTATGTAAAGGTACAAGATCCCAGTGAAGAATGTAACTGTATTGTATACTAAAAACATAACAAATTTAAAGGAGAAAAAAACACATACAGTGCTGTCCTCCCAGTGTGAAGCACACAGCCTGACCCTTTATAGCATTCTAGCTTAGTGTGATACCTAAGGACTTCCACTTGGGTTTGGAGAGCAAAACTAACCCACATGCCTAAGGGTGAACTACCTTTTGACCTCGACTGACAGAAGAGTAATATTTGGATACTCTTGGCCTCCTTCTGCCTGATGTTCCATGGCTCTTGAAAGCAAAGAAGACATCTTAATCTATGTATTCAAGTTCCTGCCCGTCCTCTTTTCCTTCCTCCCATTCTTCTAACAAATGCTTATTGAATGTCCACTAGGCACCATCCACCACTAGGTACTTTACACCTGAGAGTAAATAAAACCAAAGGAGCCCCTGCCTGGATCTTGCAGACTTGGAAACTAGAGTCATTTGTTAAAAGAGAAAAATCACAGTTGTGATAAGTATTAAATGCATGTGCAGTAAACCTCACCCAAATTAAGAGATAAATGCTTGATCAATAAATCAATGTTTGAATGAACAGACAGATGGAGAGACAAATTGGCTGGCCTTTAAGATTATAAGTGATATTCTTACCATACCAGGATAATTACCCTTTTCTTCCAACTCTCATTCTCTGTTCCTATATTGGTGTGAGTGTAAAATGTTGAGGAAGAATTAGGCGCAATCTGTCAGTCAAAAACTTCATAAGAAAATCAATTAAGTAGCTCAAAATCATTTTAGTACTTTCAGGGAAAAGAGAAAGCAGCTGCCTGATGATATTTTTAATTGAATTCAGAAGCTATTACCTACAAGAACCTTTAATTTATTCTTACCCAGTCAATCGAAAACAATTTAAGCAAAGCAGAATCTGTTTTCTTATTCTAAGTTGCAACTGAGCTGAAAGCTGTCATGCCAATTTTCACCCAGTGTGAATTTCAGCAGCTGAATGATAAACACCAGTAAGAGAAACACTCTTCTAGAATGCCAGCAGGACTGCTTTAACCAGGCTGATACCACTAGGCAACGATCTAGGAAAACCAACATTCTGTTGCTAATTACCCATCTAAGGGCTGGAAAGGAAATTATAGAGAAAGGCAATCTTCTTAATAATTCCCCCATTACCCCTATCCTGAATCTTCCCCTGCCCACAAAAGGGTGAACATAAAAGTTTCAGAAAATCCTGATTCTCATTTAAGTGGGTAAATAGAGAATTGCCTCCCTAAAAGAGTGGTCTTAGCAATTCCATGCGAAGGTCTTATCCCTGAGTAGTTGTTTACGAATGAACATTGCAGGTGAACGTGATAGAGAGAGAAGCTATCCCAACCTGCAGTCCAAACTGCTGTCAGCATGGGCAGCTACATGGCAACCTGGCTTTCACTGGTTCATCCCTCCATCCATTAAGGGTGAACAAGACAAAAAAAGCCTCCAGTTTAAGGGGAGGGAGGGTAGAAGAGAAACAGGTAAACCCATAAATCTGATGCTCAAGAGAA